AAACTAGTGCTGTAAATACTTGAATTTCTTCAAATTTCGAAACGTCGTAGATTCTAAGTGAAGAAGAAACAGTGACGAAAAAAACCTTAAGCAAATCATTGAAATCCTCTTTCATAACTGCAATATGAAAAGCAGAATTGAATAATGTAAATTCACTGACAAAAAAATGCCAGTGAAACGTTGCGTTAACGCAATGTTGGTCCTAATGGGTTAACAGCGAGTGTTCCGCGAAACGACGACGGCAACCGACGACGGTCGTTACGAAACTCTCCGTACAACGACCATAGATGTACATACACAGAAATCCGTGGCACGCGCTCTCGTGCCCACATCCAGCGCGTGTTACCGATTTCCATGGTCCGGCGCGGCGGCTGCGGACGCTGGACAAGGATCTTGGTTGCGTCGTGATCTCGGTAGGTGTGTAGGTCGGTCCCATTAACGCCGGTTGTTTTCAAAGCGATCGTCGATCCGCGTCCACGCCGTGCCACGGCCCTCTCATTCTTTCGAAACGCCTCGCCTCCCGTCGATTCGAGCCTTACCGAACACACGTGTCCCGCTTCGTTTCTGGGCCTTGTTCGCAAACTTTCCTCCCAAGGTGTCCCAGTCGCTGAACGGATATTTCATTGTTGCGCTGTACCGCGACTGTCCCGTTCTCTTTCAGCATGATCACGACCGATTAAGTACTTTAGTAGCCCAAATACGTAACCGTTTAAACACACTGAATCGAGGACAAACGGGTTCGGTTGCAGTGATTCGTTCGAGGACCATAGCGAGATTCGTTTAAACGACGATCACGGGTTCCGCTACAAGTCAGTTCAGATTGATCGTTACAATTAGCAGCGTCTGGCACCCACGATGGTCTCAGAATGCCGTACAATGCTCGATGAGGTATTGTTTTAATCTGTACCCCAAGTTAAGAGCAAAAACATACTTTACAGATAATAAATTAATTTACAACGTAGAGCAATGTTTTACGAAGGATAGAATTGCAGATTTGGTTCTCATGTTTTGTTATTCTAATATAAACTGCGCCAGATATACGAACCTGTCGTTAATTTTCAACCGAGAGAAGTCTAAATTGCTACCTCGGACTCGAATTACTGCAGGATGCTGCGCTTTGAATTTGCAAGAGCGCCCGGCCTTGCAATTCTTCCTTTAATAACTCGGACGCAGTCTGTCCCTTTCCATCTTCTACCCGTTTCTACCGATTTTCTCCAGCCATTGTAACGTTCGATCAGCCGTACCGTCATAGATAGAAGGTTTCACCCCGAAGAAATTAATTATACTTTCTCCGACATTCGAACAGATTCGCGAAGCGTATCTCGTTCAACGATACGGACGAGCGACTTGGGATTCGATGGATTCACGGTGAATTTCAACGATTCTCCGATCCCGCAAATTGCCCTAATCAAGAGTTCGAGCAATCTGGAATCACAGTTCGACGCAACAATCAACGATTCTCTCGCGGTTTGGCGACCAGCGAACACCGTTAAATACGGTCGTATTTATCAACGATTTTTCCCAGCCAGCCTTTTGTAAATAATATCATTTAGATCGCCCACGCGAACCGAACTAGTCGTCCGCGTAACGAATCAATGTCGGATAAAACTCGTAGCCGGGACACACCGGCATAACTCTCCTTGTCTCTGCCTACGCCGATCTCGAATCTCCACGGACCATATACATACAATACAAGCTTCGCGTAACTTCCGCCAGTGTAAATCGGCGCGCGGTGGCCACGACATTCGAACGGAACTATTTAAATATCCCGATAATTCCATCGTTGCGTGCTAACTTTTACATGCAAAGTCAAATTTTTATATAATGAAAACCAGATTACGCTGTACACCGATAAAAAGGTGGTTACAGTAAATCGTCGATGAGTGTTCGAAGGCTCCTCAGCATTGAGCTTTGAAACGTCATCCCTACCACTGGGCACACTTGGCTGTGTCCACAAGGGACCCCATATGTCTAACTCCCATGTTGTTATTATTCTTATTCGGAAGGAAGAATTTACTAAATCCGTTGGTGAACGCATCAGAGCACTAAAAATGTTGAAAAAAAAAAAAAGTACTGGATTTAGCACGAAATTATTAGTGGTGGTCACACTGCTCGAGGCTCGACGATGATCGTCTCGAGTCGTTCTGACGCAACCGATCCTTACGATCCGTCGATTTTTCTCCCTTCGATTCCCCCAGGGTGTACTTGCTTTTCGTCGACACGCTTCATTCTAGAAAATCAGTCGTGCAATTAGCCTCTATCGCGCTCGAATCGCCACGAATTCCAGGGTAGTGAGCTTGCGGTAGGTAACGCCACGGTGGCTCGACCTAATGAGATTCGACCAACCAGCACACTCTGCGTTCGACTCGCCGATCTTCTTTCACCGGTTAACAGATGCGCCGCACCGGAAAACCCGTACCCCGCTCTGATCCGCATAAAATATGAAACGGCCAATTAGGAATCGACAGAAACCACTGTGCACGGAGTTTTCCCCGTCCGTTCCCCGTTCCTGCGTTCCAGCGCCGTGCACGTTCGACTTTCATCGAGAGTCTTCGACCAACGATCCTTCCACGGCTGCGAATCCGATTTGCGTTGGGGCAACGTAACGAGATTCTTTTTTAAACGTTTCCCCTCGTGTCCTCGTTTCGAGCGCAGGAGGCCTAGTCGATTTCCTTCCGTCTTCCCTCCGATTTTTTCGTTTCTGGGTTTCGATATGCAGCTTTCGACTAACGAAGAAACGCATGTCCACTTATGATAGTATTAAAGATTATTAATGGAGGTAGGATGCTTCTGTGTAGGTATGTAGTATTATGATAAGAGTAATAACGCATAAAGTACAGACGCACCATTTAACAAGACGTGAAAGGAAAAGGGTAATCGACAAGACCACGAAGAATGACGAATAGGAGTCACCGCACAGAGGCTAACAAAGAAAGCTCGTTCGCTTTCGCGATCGAACGACGACACGCTGCGTCGATTTACAGGGAATTGGCTCAGTGGGTCGTAATTACAAACGAATGATCGATGAAAGTTCTACAGGGGAGAGAGAGAGAGAGAGAGAGCGCGCAAGTGTCTTTTCATCGCGGGGCTCGGAGAAAAGTCGCGAATCGGGGATCGCTACGAGCAATCTTCTCGGTTTCATATGAGGCACTGCCGCTTTCTAGCATCCGACGCGTGTGCGGTAATCGAACGATTTACGCCGACGATAAAACTGTTTGCAAGGGCGACACTCGCTTTCAGATTTGCCCAGTTAAACTACCTTGACTGGTGGTTTATCGTAATTCTCTAAATTTAATGGATCCATTGCCGATGGATTAAAGCGAGGAGAGGAAACGTTCATCTTCGTGATCGAACAGTGGCTACATTGACAGATGATTTTTCTTAACCTTAGATTCCCAACCTAAGTAAAATTTACGTATTATTTCTGTTCAAGGTGCTGCTATTTTCTTAATTGACTCTCCATTCCTATCACCAAAAAAATCACCTAAAAAGCTTAACATCCTACATGTAAGATATACGTGTCGTTTGCATTAACAGAATAAATTTTTGGGTTATCAGCTCCGTTCTATCAGGAATCTTTCCTTCAATTTAAACAACTCAATACCATTTTCATGGAAAATGACAGATGATGAATTGAAATGTATATAGGACTGTTGTCAGTCTAAGGTTAATTCGAGGAAACTGTCTATAAATCCGAATTAGAGAATGGGTCAGAAAAGTATTGTTACGTGTCCACTAATTGACGTTGAAGGCTTTTAGCGATACTTTGAAAATCGTTCGGAATCCATGCCACACGTAATATCAAGAGGTAATCAATGCGCGTTTAAATCAATCTCTTCGTATCCATTAGCGATAACGTGGAGCGAACGCGATCTTCGTATGCCTTTCAGAAGCTAATGGCTTTTTCATTCCACGTCGCCCACGTTGGTCCATGAATTACGTGTGGCGGGTATATGCGCGCGGCAATATTTCACGCGTCCTGCAAATCAACCGCGTCAATGGCCTTGTCACGAATCGCCTCCGAGAACGAAAGCTCGCCGAGACCAGGAGGAAACCGCGCAGGGGACCGATGGCGTTGTTGTGTTCTCTTCGTTATCCCCACCGCCACGCAATGCTGCTTACCGATACCGATCGGGCGAGTTTCTCTGAAATTCTGCCCGGGAACCGCGAAGAAGAAAACGGAAGCACGCTGTATTAACAGACCCCGCCTTCGTGCGATGCATTTCAAGATCCGATCGATGCCCCAGTAGCGAACCGATTTTTCACGCGAGCGTCGTTAAGAAACTCGCACGACCATGCCGGAATTACCGCCGTTTTAAATGCCTTTCGTTTGCTCTCTTTGCCGCTCGATTGCCGATTGTCAGGCCGAGTTTCTCGTCTTTCACGGCATTTTCACGCGATCAAATCACCGTTCTCCGAACAGAAGCAAACAGGTGCCCGTTGTTTCTAACGATGCTAATACCGTTCGAATTAATTGCGCTTCTGGGATCTTTGGATCGCTATCCTCCGAGATTAGAGTACTCGTCTTGAGGATTATTGGATAACTGTTTCGCTACTCTGTTAGCTTCTCAATAATCTCTTATACTACAGGAGTGTGGAATATTCTTCGTGCGTAAACACTACCGTCCACAAGTATGGGACCAGGTCTGGTGATTAAACAGAGAGAAAAATATTATTCTAGCAAGATTTGATAACAGTAATATGCTAAAACTGATTGGAAACGATTTGTGTATGTACTGATTCCGTAACTTTTATTGTGTCGTAACAGAATAATGAGTTACTGTTCCATCAATTATGAACTTTGGTCCCATACTTTTGGCTGGTAGTGTATGTACTAAAGCCTTTGCAAGTTTTAATTTAGAATCGCTTGAGTATTTCGTGAATATTCCGCGCACACGCAACCCATTCGACAAAAGTATCGCCCCATCGAAAGGGTTGACGAACATTCGGGAGCATTTCAGAGCATCTTAACGATCAATTTGGGTTTCGATATGTTGCAGATCAAGCTGGAACGTGTGCTCGGCGTAACCGTGTCGAGCAATGCAGCCCTGGACTGCGATGCGACCAGCGAGCTGGTCGCGTATCCTGCTGGGTGAGTTCAAGACCGGTCTCTTCATTTTCTTTGATCGATGCCTTCGACGGATCTCGATCCCATGCCATTTCGCCGCCGTTCACTCCTGTGCCCCGCGTGTGTACACCTTTTTGATCCACATCTGATCCGATGGAACAACAGTTTCACCCTTTCAAATGATATTCGCCGATCGACTACTCAAGCTCGATATGCGAGAGAAGAACCTTGGCTAAATAATCGCAACTCCGTCGTTCGATAAAATATGCGTGACGTCACGTTCTTTGCGTTCTCCGCGCGGTAAGTTTCAACATCCGCGGAGTCATACTGTAAATAAAAGATAATTAGCGCGAGACGTGTTGCAACGCCTCTCTGAAAATTATTGTTCGCGTTAACACGAAGATGGACGGGAAATTACAACCATGAACTTTTCGAAGTTTCTTCTCCGTTACAAATTTAAATGGTATTTTGGCGTTGATCGTCCCTTGAAACGCGATCGTTGGTAGACTGTTTAAGTACCAAACGGCAGTTTACTTCGTGTTCACCTTGTGTCTCACTCCGCAGCTCGATCGAGCACCTGAATTATGTCGTTCGTGGAGCTCTAAATGATTTCCCGATAATGGTCGCTATCGATTGCAAAATTAAGATAATTACTGGGTGCAGCGGACGCAGAAACTGGGCAAAAGGGCGAGTCGCGAGCTCGTTGCGACGCGTTACGAGACTCGGAAATTTCGTTGGAATTTATTTTTACGGGACCAGAAGTTGCTCGACGCAATTACCCGTGTTCGCGATTTAGGGATAATCGGCAGCAGATGTTGCAAAGTCGATTCCTTCGAAAAACGGATTACAGTCTCATCAATCTTATAACTACGGGGTGAAACATTTTCTGTGATCCATAGCCACAAATTGTTATCGAAACTAGAGGGAATTGAAAGGAAAAGAAAATTTGAAGCACTAGAGCACAAGTGGCGATTCATTGTGAAATTATGTCCTATCTGTATGTTACCTACTATATCTAGTTGCCGCAAGTAGAGTTCAATTCGCCTTACTATTTTCCAACTAACAACTCGAATCAAATTTTTAATTAAAATATATCCTACACAAAGAGGATGAACTGTACCTCCGTTTCTGAAACGGCGTTATCAGTTTCCAGATGCTCGTGCTTAACTTACTTCATTCTCGTGTTCGAAGCGAAACATTTCTCTCGATCATAATTAGAATAAAGACGGAGAGCCGAGAGACTTTACGACACGAGTCGTATTACAAATCTGCCGTGTTAAAGGCCGGCCGATATTCGTGGGAACGAGCAGAGAAGAAACGAAGGATCGACTTTGCATAACGGGGCACACGGAAGCGCGGGATTATCCCGATCGGGCCGCGATATCGGATCGCGATATTTCGATGAAGATGCTCGATCGACGCTTGCGAAACGCGATCGAGTCGGGGTCGCTTCTTTGACGTGCAAGACTTCATCGAGTTGCGCTTGACTCCTCGGAAGAACGAAAGGAGATCGCGTGAATGTTGTAGCTCCATTTTCTGCGACGACTGCAGGTTTATTGAGAATGAAATTTTGTTTTCATTTATCGAATGTTCCGAAGATTCCAAACGCGAATTGAGTAACCGCTAGGATAAATCTCCCCATTACTGCCACCGTAAGATTGTAGCGTAACTTCATTTAATTATTGTACGTATCGTTTAACCTACAAATCGTCTTAGTTTGGTATATAATATTATTTAACACCTTTCACTAAAAAAATAGTTTTATACATTAGCAATTTATTTGGTACAACAAATATAGGTTGCACAGTAAAGGTACGGCCCTTTCTTTAGTACGATACCACCATCACTTCCTGCTTACGTAGTCGCGTTTTTGACACTGAAATTGCACTATCATTTTTCAACATTAACTTTTAAACACCAGGTATATACAAGTACATGTATTTCCTACGAGTCCCAATTTAAGAATAAAATGTTTTGTACGCAATTCTTTATACATTATGTTTTTGTTAGGTAAAATGAATAAAGTGGCAGTAAATGGGACATTTACTTTATACGGTAGATAAATTACGCGCGTCAAGCCGGCTGTGGAGGATTGTGGCGGCCGTGAAAGAAAGTTCAGTTTCTTCGTTAGCGCGAACAGCGCGGGAGGAAAAAATGCGCGCGCGCGATTCTCTCGGTCACGGATAAACGCGGACGGCACAAAAGGAGCCTCTCGCGGCTCGTTTCTTCTTCGGCCGCGTGAATGGAAGAATGGCGAAAGTGCGATGAAGAGATTATGTATGCCGGTTTATCGCGTGCTCCATACCGAGAAGACCGTTTCGTCCGCCGTTGCTCTCCACATCGCGTTATTGTCGAGCTCTGTCTTCATCTTTTTCCTATTATCTTGGCTCGCTCTGGTTTTGCCAACTGTCATTCGCGAATTCATCTCATTCTTTCCCTCGGTCGTCAATGGGTTAAGTAAGTGTAACTCATTTTTTCAATATCACCATTTCCGTCATAAGTAGCGTTGATCCAAAAACGGACGGTACCTGCTCTTAATCTGACAGACGGGAAGATTAAATTAAAAGTTCGAGACGTATTTTCTTCTCTGATTGTCAACGTGGATCGATCGTATCCTCGTTACTAGCTCGTCGCTAATTACTCTGGAATTTCAAAATCGCTAGGAGGATCGAAGGCTGCTCGAGGCATCGTTAAGCCGCTTAAATTTGCGACGCGATCGAATCAGACGGACTCGACGTGTCGCGATACGACGCGGCGCGTATCATGGATCGTGGCGACGCGGCAAAGTCGAATGCAACGAACCTATGTACGGTACTCGGACGGAAATCGGGTCAAGAGAGAGGTGAATGGACCAAAAGATTCTGTGTCGGAGATCCGCCTTGGCCGATACTTACGTATCGACGACAATTAAATCGCTCGATCGACCCGACAACCTCTGCGTCCCACCGCTCCGTTCTGTCTGCGATTTCCGCGTCGTGACAGGAATTCTCAACCGTGTCCGAGAAACCGGTTCCAGAATGCTTTGAAATCTTTCGATCGTTATCGTTCGCATGGATCTACGTACACACGACGATTCCTCGATTATTTATCAATTACACGAAGCAGAAATAGTTACCGAAAGATCGTTAACGCGGAACGTTTCGTTGTTGATTCACGAGGGAATTTTCGACGCGCGTTTCGATGCGCGTTTCCACCATGGCGCAGAATTATGGTACTTCTCGTTCCAGTAATGGACTCTAATTGCATAGAAGTTACAACGAGCTCGACGAGGAACCACGATCCGTGTGTGTACGCGCGTTTACGCGTGCGTGAACAAAACTCGCCGGGTTCGAAAGTAGTAGCTGGAAGTCGCGTGCTCGGTTTTCCTCGCGCGTCCGGTTACTGTATCGCTCGAGCTGTTACTTCACCGTCTCTTATGTCATCGCTTTTAAGAACATTCTTTTGGATCGGCCCGTCAGCTTGCTTTCGATTCAGCCCGATTCACGGATCCACGGGACCATTCACACGCCGCGTCGATGTCCATCGAGGGATCCCCATTGAATGGAAAGTGGCGAAGTGGAATCGCGTTATGCGTAATGCGCTCGACCGTACGAACGTTCGTCGAAAGGACCGCTACACGTAACATCGTTCTATCGTTGAATCTTACGGTCTCCTTTCCGTCGAGTAATGCGTTTGAACCTTACGTAAAGGTGATAATAAGAACAATAATCGTAAAAATTCAGAGGAAAGAAAAAACAATACAATATCAACATAGGTGTGCATATGGTTGAGAAAATATACTATACCGAGTAAATACTTTGCTAGTGTGAATCAAGCTTAATGCATCAGGCGACTCATTAGCCACCACGTCCTCCTAATTCGAGGGAGATTATCGGTACCACGATGAATCCCAGTTACATGCATTAAGGCTAACCCGAACGCATCGTTGTTGACGGTGCTATGCGAATCATCTGTGCCATGAGTTGGCTAATTGCGACTCGACTAATTATCGCTTGTTCGTAACCTAGCGCCTGTGGTTCAGTGTTCCGCGAGCATCGACTCGGCCCCCGTTACAGGGCCTTTTCTTCTGTACGAAAAATAATTTGTATATTCGCACAGACATTGTTTATCGTCTGTACAGCGGATTCTTTGCACTCCAGGGATTCTAGTAGCTCTGTACAATGTTTCAGAATTAATGTGACCAAAAGATTTCGGACAGCTTGTAGAGGTTTAGGTAACACAGTCAACCGAACGGTTTAACAACGTTCTCCTCTGTAATAGCGAATACTCCCACGAGTTTATGTATGTTTTTTTTTTTCACTATAACGCGTAACTGTTCCGTTTATTTTTGTTGAAACTCTGGTAACCTTTCGAAACACACTTTGAACTCTATTCTCTCCTATCATTCGTTAAACAAGAACTCAGGCCGTGAAAGTCTCTTCGCGCATTCGTATAAACATGGTCTCGTTTTCTTCTTCGTGTAATTTGGAATCGAACTGCTCGGTTTCCCGTGTCCCGATCCTGTATCGCGAACGACACGATCGGTGTCCGGAGCGCGATTCCGAGGTTAGAAAGTGCTTGACATTGCGTGCACCATGTTTCGGAACAAAGTAGGCGAGTTCCGCTTTCCCGGTTTCTCGATTTACTCTGTTTCCCAGTTTCGCGGCTCCAGACACACGGGACACAATCGAGGTTGACGATAGAGCGATAGAACGATCGTCCGCTAATCGACGGAGAAAATCTTCGCGCGAAGAAAAGTAATCGCGACTCTCTGAGATTTCACCGTTATGCGGCGAGCGTGTGTACACAACTCTTGGCCGCAGATTATAGGCTGCATCGGGGACAGCCGCCGCGAAATCCATTGCGAATGCTGTTATTTTGTCACTTTCGATTATTGCTCATCGTAGTGATTTATTTGCAAACGATCCACGTGTCCAACGCATCGTGTTTCATTATCTCTTCGAGAACGAATAAAATTTATCATATAGATATGCGTCCTGAGATCCGTAATTTGAATTTTCAATAGAAAACCACAGTACTGATGC